CAGGGTGTATAATTGAAATACTGTTACAAAGATTTAGAAAAAGAAAAGTAAAAATCTAGGAAAATGAATCAACGGACCTTTAATTCTAAGACAGAGTGGTGGAAACCTTAGAATATAGCTGGAGCTGATGATCTTATCCCTTTTTCAGTTCAGACCCTAGTTTGATGAAGGGAATGGGCAGCCCCACAAGGGTTTGAATATAGTTATGCACTGAATGTCATTTTTTGGTGAGAAAGAATGGGAGCCACACGGAAGGGAGAGGGAAGGGAGGTTAGAGTTTTATCATTGTTTCTTTAAGTCCTATTTTATTTTCAGTGCCATTTTCCAGGGTGTAAATTCAAGGGGAGGAAGTTATTCTATATTAAGAAATATTGGTGATGGAAAATACTTTTAGAGATTATGATGTTTGAATACTTTGAGAATGGGAATATATAAGTTGCAGAGAAAGCCAGTTACATACATTCATTAAAATCTTTTCACTAGTTTTCCATTAAGAAGAGAGTTGCGAATTACCAAAAGATTTTGGAATAGTTGATATCTACTTATAACTTTTTATTCCTGCATATCAGATCTCCTTGTCCTTGTAGGTCCATGGATGGCAAAATTGTGAATCTTGGGTGTTGTTGCATTATATATAGATATTAAGACCTTTATGCCTGCCAAGGATAGCTAATTCCGAAATTTGGATTTCCCCAAACTTCATTTGAGAAGAGCTAGATACCTGTTTTATTTCAGATATCTAGGAGGCGTACAGTGTGTTTTAAGGGTCATTTTCATGGATTGAGGCACCTGAATTCTGCCCCCATGTTTTTGTGGCTATACATCCAAGTATGTAAAAGTACAGATGAGCTCTGGTAACAGAGTGCTCGTTAATTTACCTGTGTGCAACACATCTTTTGGAAAGAATGTTTTATAGTTTTGACGTAGTAGATTTTAGAGAGAACCTTTTATTGGTGGCAGTAGATTGAAAAATAGAAAGGTATTATGAGTTTAAAGGAATAAGAATAATTTTTATGTTGATGTTTTTATTACTTTGTCTCCTGCTTCCATTTTTCTTGTTCTCCTCCCTCTTCTTTCTGTTCTCTTCTTCTATTCATTCTCTGTGCTGGTGGGAATAGCCTTAATCTTTGAGGAAATTTTTAGTACGTGGAGAAGATCTAACATCAAAAAGTGTTCATGAGACTTGAAATCTAACTTAACAATTCTAGCTATTGGAAAAGATCAAAGGGATCTGGCACTGGCACTGTGTAGGCTTACAGAGGAACACAGGAGTAATGGTGCTATGTATGTTTTGAGGGCAGAGATTCCTGATAACAAAGTGCAAGGTGTAAAAATTCCTGTTGGCAAGTAGAAAAATCCTGGCTTGTTTTCAAGTGAAAAAGTGTATGCAGTTATGATCTGTGCAAACAAAAAAGCCTTGACAAAAGCTTCAGACTCCTCTAACATTTTAGAATAAGTGGTAAAATATTTAATATTCTGCACTGTTAGAATGCATTGTCTGTCACTGTTGATCCGACACATTGTCTGCAGCCTCTTGTTGGTTTTAGTAAACAGATATCGATCAGAGTTTGTTTTTAATGAATGATGAGAACTGGTATTGTTCTTGGCAGAGTTTTGAGCAAATAGAGTTGAAAAGACATAAGAAGGTAAAATGAAGACAGGTAGTCTGGAAGAAGCAGAATGTAGTCATTCTACTTGGGGTCTTTCAGTTGGTCTGTTGAGAAAATGGAGGTTTGGGATTTTTCCAACCTGGCGATGCACTTCTTTTAAGCAATTATTAGTTTCTGATCTTTGAAAGGAGGGGAGAAATCATTGCATAAATATGGGACTACACAATCCAGTGAAACACAAAGAAGTTCTTGTAACCAAAGGAAATAAACTGTATGTGTATATGTAGACAGGGTTCAAGTATCTGGAGTCTCTTCAGACCTTTTCTGTCTGGAAAAAATATTTAAACCACAGCAGTGTTAAAAATACATTCTGTGTGTTTTATCTAATAAATCATTATTTCTATCAGTTATTACAACTTCTGATTTCATCTGAATAAAGAGTCTTTTGGAAAGAAAGCAGAAGAAATTAGTCTGTGGTTTTCTGATTTAGCTTCAGAATCTCTCTCCATTCTCTGACCTTGAAAGATAAATACCTGAGCTGTACACCTGAAAGGTTCAGGCTTGTTGATCCACAAGGTCAATATTTGTTTAATCTCATATGGTAGAATGTATTAAATAGATTTTTTTGTAATTTCTTTTCAAACTGTAATTTGCCTTCCATGCTTGTTATAAAGTCAAGGAAGATCATTGCCTGATCCAGGGACTGAAGGATGTATGGAGGGTGCTCAAGGAATGCGTCACTGTTATATAATAATGGAAGCTCTTGTCCTCACATAACTGCAGTGTTGGAAAGTGTAGAGTGAATGAGACAGAGAATTGTGGGAGGAGAAAAGATTAATTTATAAGAGAGATATTTTGAATTGTAGGGTCAAATTATATACTGGCTTAAAACAGCATGTTCCTATAAAATGCTGAGAAAATAATTTTAAATGCAGGTTTTCAAAGTGTCTGCTTTTGGACAATGTGTTTTATTTAATGGTGCAAAACTAAAAACTTATTGTAAGATTTTCAAAAATACCAAGGGTTTGCAGCTGCATTTGAAGTCATCATATATATACTATTATGTAAAGATTCTAGATCCTGTTGAAAAAAAATACCAAAATTTCAAACTACACACTTAGAATTAGTGTGCAGTATTACAATTTTAATTTTACACTATTCTGATCTCAGTTCTACTTGTGAAGAAATATTAACCATGATCAGTACCCAAAGGAAAGATGTTGGTTGTAATCTGATGATGTGAAGGGCTCAGATTTCCTTTATTTACTTCAACAGAAAAATTCACAATGAAGAAATAACTTAAAAGTGTGCAGTTAGTTTGTCTGGAAGTCATATACGGAGAGGAATATAAGGATTAGTGGTATATTCAGTCTTCTTTGTCCAGTTGTCAGAAAGATCAAATTTACGGTGTTTAGTTCTATGTATGTGACTTAGGAGCTTTGAATTATTGTCTGAGAGTGTTTCCTTCTCACAGCTGACCATATAGAGCTGCAAGGCTATAATTTTGGGGGATCTAAATTAAAAGTCCTGGCCTACATAGTGAAAAAGTATGAAAATGCTTTGATTTCCTGCCCTTCCCACTCCTCCAGCTTTGAATTTCTATGTTGGAAAACTAGTGTGGATTCTCTTGATTAAAGACAATATTATGATTAAGATGCATGGTAGAGTGGAATTGCAACTGCATGAGAAATTTTTATTTTCACATTTTTTATTTCTTTGGAATATACCTGCTTGGTTTTGTGGGATTGTTTGTTTACTTATTTGTTTGCTTTGTTTTGGTACTGGAACATTTCTTTGTATAAAATTTCTAACATGCTGAAGAGGCAAAACCATGCTTGAAGACATTTTACTGTGTGTTGAATGTTCAGTTTTCCTTTTGTATAGGAAAAGTTTTGGAAAGATTTTAGTATTTCTTATCATCCATTTATTTAGTTCTTGTTTAGTCACTGAATCCTGTTTATAGAGATATTCCCTGTGGTATCATATAGTGAAGGAGATGTGGAGCTATTTTGATGAGCTTTAATTTTCTGTGCAACCATAAGAATCCACCTAAATTACAAGCCTGCACTTCCTGTTAAATTAGGTGAGAGTATTCTCTTTAGAGACATTCAGAATATCTATTTAGGAGCAGTTTGGGGGTTTTTTAACACACAGGGAAAGTAGATCCTAACTTAATATTTAAGACCAATACCTGCAATTTGAGGATATAAATATTTCTGTGAGTATATGTCTCTATTCTTGGGTTTGGTTTAGAACATCACCTTGATCACTCAAGTTAAAGCCTGTATTTCAGATGGAATGTTTTCCTAAATTCAGTGGACAAATATTAATCAGTACTAAACAGGCCTACTGTATGTATTATCTACTTATTTCTCTAAGCAAGTCCTAGTAAAGTTCACTCAAGAGTAAAATTCCCTAGCTTTCCTTCCTTAGTTTTTAGAGTTACATTGTCTGCAGGTCTTGATATCACTGTAGTTTATTAAATGTAGTGCAGATTTTCCTTTAATCTATTAGTTTAGGATGTTTTGTTTTAAATGGCATGTTACATGTTACAAATTCACCTTGAACTATGATAGGCAGTTCAGTTGTAAATAAAAATTAAAAATATAGATTGTAGTTTACATAATCAAAACATTTTCCTTTGCATTTATAGCTGAATGTATTCCTGGAAATGTTTTAACATGATATTATGTGCAAAGAATTGAAAGTCAGTTATAGAACATTACCAATTTAATTTTGCAACTATAAGTTTCCTATACTTGGCATTCCCAATTTTTAATCTTAAATGGAAACAAGTCCAGAGTACAATTTAATGTAAACATAAACAAATATTAAAGAAAATCCTTTTAACTCAAAGTGGGAACTTTCCCTAGCCCATTTAATACAGATTTTAGAACTTTAGGGTCGTTGTTTTACAACACGTTGCACTCAGTTGTGCAAACTTATCTTTTTAGGGTCAAAGAAGAGCAAAAACCACAGTCGACACAGTAAGTAAAATATCTGAAAGATGCAATAGGCTTGACTTTTCTACCTTTGCCATGTTCTGCTCTCTGCACCTTTGATGGTATTAGCTTTCACTGATACCTGATAGGCTGCAGGTAGTTTGTCATCTGCTTCCTGACTGGCTTGTAAGAGAGCTGCCTGCAGCTTCTTACTCCATCCACATGTTAGCTGGATGTAGGTTCTTGCTGCCTGCTTGTGAACTGGTGAATTGTAAAACTTTACTTCCCTTACATCCTTAGTGGCTGACTTAGTTCTGCAGCTAACATTCCCATTGGCTCTAGCTTTTCCGCCTGTCTATTTCTAATAGTGTTGAATAAGAAAACATTTAAACTAGTGTGGTTTTGTTGGTTATTCAGTCACATTATTTGCTTGTTTAAACAGGTGGTTTCCCTTTAGTGGGATCACTGAGCTGGTAAATAACGTTCTCCAACCACAGCAAAAACAGCAAAATGAAAAGGAGCCCCAGACGTAAGTAAGCTGCTCTCTGTAGACTAAGTAATGTCTGTGTAGCATTAGAACATACTGGAGAGTATGTTTGAAGTAATTGCCATTTAGAACACTCAGCTGAGGGCATTTTATAAGGGGAACACCATTTGCTTTCCAACCCTCATTTGCAAAGGGAAAACGGAAAATCAGGTTTTACTCTCCTTATCAGTAACATAAGAGATTACATTAGAGTACAACTGAAGGAGTTACTGCTGCTTCGTTTGTCTTTTTTTCTGCAAATGTTCCATATATGAAACTCCCAGTGAAGTGATGTGTTTTCTGTGCATGAAGAGCTGGAATGATAAGACGTAGTATTATGTATAGCATGTCTATGCACATGCATGGTATTTGTGATATTGTTTATGCATAGAATGCTATATCAATATACATAATATGGATGAAGAAATTTCCAAGGACCAGGAAAATGTCCTTTCATTTTTTTCATGCTTTTAAAATATCTGTAAAGTTTCAGAACTTTAGCAGATATAAGGTGAAATCTTGGGTCAGTTAAGAGGCCAGTATTTCATCCACAGACCTTGTACTGTTAAGTCATTACTTTTTTTGCTATTTGAAAATTTTAAGATTTAACAGAAACTGGCAAAGCTAGGATATTCGGTCTTAGAGTAGAACTTAAAGCACTGAGCTGAAAATATTCCTTTCATAAAGACAACCCCAAAAATATTTATTATTCTAAATTTTCAAATTCTTAAAATGTTACTTCTGATATTATTTAAGCTTTAAAAAGTTAAGTTGCTGTTTTTCCTTTCTTCTAAAGGTGAATACCTTGTAAGTTCACATGATAAAAGAAATGTTTGCTTTTGAACTTGTGCACAATTGGTTTAAAACTTGCATAAAACTTGTTAATTATTTTCCAAGCAGAATCAGTTTTAGTTTGTTTTTTTAATATGTATATTTAAGTGGGCCTTCATACTTGTGGGTCATGAAAGCTATGATATTGTCGTGGGTTAAAAAGGGTTTTCCCCTGGAGTTGGAAAGTGGTTAATTGGAAATTGGATTTTCGGGGCTCCCAAACCGTGACAGATATGCTTTTTGAATACACAGTAAGAAATTGTCAAAAATTAAAATGGGAAAATAGAACTCAAAATTGATATTCTGTAAAACAGTGTATTATTCTGAGCTCTGTTTCTGATATTCTCATTTAAGTTCTTATAAAATTGTATACAATATGGATAGTGAATATTTTCTTTATTGGTTATTGTTAGATACTGGCAATATAACATTTTGTTCACAACACCTCAGTACCTCCTTTGTATTCCCAGTTTCCTTAACTCAGCAAAGTTTGTTCTACTTGTACATATGAAGCATATGGCTTTCAAGAAACCAAAAATACTATAAAGGCAGTGTAAACAGTTAAGTTACAGATGACAAAAACTATTTATAAATGGTTACTGTTATTATGGAAGAATTTTTTTTGAACAGTAATCTCTTTGGGAACTGGCTTTTTTCAGTGTTTTTATTATGTAATTAACAAATTAACTAATTTGTGTACTCAATGCACTTGCAGATGGCATAAGACTGGGAGAAGAGTAACATCTAATGGCAGGACTATATTAAAAATGATCCTTAAAAACCAAAGCTATGGTTATGATGTGATGATGACATTCAAAAGCATAAATGCAAAGTGGTGTAGTTATGTAGGGGTGGTTTGTGTGGTTGACACAGGATTAAGGAAAATGGTGTAGGGAGATATTCTTTGGCAGAGAATCAGAGAGCCATTATAGTATGTAAGTTGAGCTGTAGCCAGTATTGTTAAAGAGATTAATGTCATACAGGAATGTGCAGACAGTAGCCAGGAAGCACCATGCAGAAGCTGCCACACTGCTAAGCTTTGCTAAGATCTCACCTGGAATGACATGCCCTTCTTTGGACAACATTCTTCAAAAGTTATGTGGAGAAGATGAAATTCAGTGGAGAGTAATAAGAATGAGTAATTAAATGTCTATAAACATATGTATTAAGAAAGAATCAAACACATGAGGTGATTGAGCCTCCTGAAGAGGAAATCCCAGGGGATGAAGGATGGACAAATCTTTAATTATGCAGAATGTTGCTGAAACATGAAAGGAAATAATCTCTTCTCCATGCCTCTGGTGGTGCAGAAGAAAGGAGTAGGCTGAAGTTGTCTTAGGGAGAATTGAGCTTGATAGGGAAAACCTTTCATGGAAAGAAAACTTAAAATGCTTGCTTAAAAAGTTTGTCTGGGACTTGTATGGAAGCCGTGAAAATCTTAAGGAGCACGTTTGGCAAATCTGCTAGAAGAGACAAAAGTGTATCTGGTCCTATGCTAGGACAAGAGAATGGACTAAGTGACTTTTGAACGTATCTTAGAAAGACACTTTTGAAAGACACTTTTGAAAGTGTCTTCCAGCACTGCTTATTTGTGGTAATTTCATTAATTTATTAATGATCAGAATTTATTTTTGTGATTATTGTAAACTTGCAGGGAGAAAATTGAACAGAAATACTAATGTCTGAAGAAATTTTTATCACTATCCATACATATCGGGGCATTTTCCACTTGAAATCACTGTCAGTATCTGAGTCTGTAATGGATTTCAAGATGTGTCTGACTGTCCACTTTTGCTCATGAAAATACTTGTCTACAGTGATTCTGGGGAGGACAAAATGTGGTGGGAGGAGGCAGAAAAGGAATCAGTAGTGTCTGAAAACATAAGGTATCATGTTAAAATTTCAGTTTTGCTCTGGAGAAAGTATTTTTGAAAAACCATTGACCAAGTATCCTTATGGACAGAGGCAGGGTTAGTCTGACACTTTTGGACATTAATTCTATACCATAAAATCACAGGATAGTTGAGGTTGGAAGAGACCTCTGGAGGTCATCCTGTCCAACCCACCTTCTCAGGCTGGGTCACCTAGGGCCGGTTGTTTAGATGCATTTTGAATATCTCCAGGGATGGGGATTCTAGAACCTCTGTGGGCAAGAGATACATGTGCTAGTGCTAGAGTGAAAAGTGTTTCCTTCTGTTAAGAGGGAACCTCTTGTGCTTCAGTTTGTGCCTATTGCCTCTGATCCTGTCACTGGACACTGCTGAAAAGAGCCTGATTCCATTCTCTTTGCACCCTTGCTCCAGGTATTTGTATTTACTGATATGATCCCCTCCCTGAACTTTTTCTTCTCTAGGCTAAACAGTTCAAGCTCTCTGTCTGTCCTCATGTGAGAGATGCTTCAGACTCTTCACTATCTTTTTGGCCTTTTGCTGGGCTGTCTCCAGTATGTCCACGTCTCTCTCAAACTGGGGAGCCCAGAAGTGGACACAGAATCCTAGGTTTGACCTCATCAGTGCTGAATAAAGGGCAGGATCTCATTGTTCTTCATTAGGATTTGGTGGTCTTGTGTCTAAGGGTTTGACTTGGAGTTTATATTTTTTTTTTTTGCATGAATTTTGGAACATTATGTAATGGTATTAGGCTCCAATCAAAAGAAAGGGATTCCCATGCTAGGAGGCACTAAAGATTCAGCTAGTGTAATATTGTGTATTGGCAGTGCCCAGCAATGAATATCTGAGAACACACATAAGAAGAGGGTTATGCCCAGACTAATTCCTATACAGGTGTTTTAGTGGCTTCCTGAGGCAATGTCTGCATGCATATTGCTGCATTTATTTCATGGCCACTAGGAATCTAATTACCATCACTATTTTCAGTCCCATTTTAAACCTATTTATATTTTTGGCTTTAGAACTTGGTGAAAATGAATTCTACAATTTAATTATCTGCTATGTCGAGGAGTTGTCACCCTTTGTTTGCTTTAAATCTACTCCCTGATATTTTCATTGGGAAGTGCTAGTCTTGTGTTATGTAATTCCTTATATACTTTGTCTATACTATGTATAACATTCACACATTTCTATTACATTCTGTGCAGTCTATTATATTTAATTCATTTTTCCCTTCAAGCTGCAGAGTCAGCTTCTGTGAAAGGCACTCTGTGCTTTTGGTCATCCTTATTGCCTTATCTCCTTTTAAAAACCCTAATAGATCTTTCTGAATTGAGGGTGATCAGTGTTCCTCACAGTATTAGATATGAGAGTTCTGTGAATTTATACAGTGGTTGAGGAAAGAAAGTTTCTAAAGTTTGCTGCTTAAAGATATCCAACTATTGAAAAGATGGTGGTTTTTTTCCCTTTTACCATGAACATTTTTGTTTATTTTCAGGCTGGAAGTTTAGTTACTCGTTAAGAACTGTAAGAGATTGATCATTGACGTTGACAGCAGAAATTGAACCTCTTTTCTTGTGTTGATAGTTATAAGCACATTATTAATAAACAGTAGAATGTTTATATCAATAGAATAGTAGAATGTCAATATCAAAAGTCATTTAGCATAATGCTTTTTGTGTCTAAACTATTTCAAAATAAATAGAACAAAATATTTCATCACCTTTTTTGTTCTTTCACTAGACTAATTCTAGGAGAGATCAAAAAATGCATTGCTTAGCACAACATTGGGATTTTTGCTGCTAAAAATGTCTTTTCAATAAATAAATATTTACATGTGTTTCTGGAAGTTATGTTGTCACTACAAGGAAATGAAGATCAAAAATTATTGTAAAATGATACCAAGTAAAACCTTTTTGTCCATATTTTTTGTAAACTACATTAATTTTTCTACTGGTAGACCACACCTGCAAACCAGTAAAATTTTCAATAAAATACCTTTTCCTGTAGTCTTGAGGAGACAGATTTTTAAAAAGATGGAATTCTGTAAGCAACTGTAAATGAAAGGAATCATCTTTCAAAAATGCTTGATTTTTACATTTTTACTCCTTTGGTATTTGGAATTTCAAGTAATACCAAGTTTTCACAGTAGTCTCTGTGATCACACACATAGTTTTGTTAACATGCTCTGTTCTGTTGGTATAAAATCACTGTAGACATAATGAAAGTTTTCAGTATTTAAATGTGTGTACTGTAAAGAACAGAGACTGTATTTACAGAGAA